CCATGGCTAGTGCTATCTGATTTAGTCAGAGGGCTATATATTTTAGTAAATATCACAGGAAGATTGGACTATTTGTTCCAGAGTAGAAAGAAATACCTGTTTGTGATTATTTTGTTTATCTCAATATTAATGCCAATAGCCACTACTCTTTGAAAACTATTTGAATCATATTAAAATGATTGAGTCCACATTTTCATCTTATTTAATTTAAATAACTTGTCTCAGTTAAAAACAGAGCCTAGATTGTTGTGATGACAAAGTAATATTAATGTGTTTATAATTTCACGCTCCACTTTTATTATGTTCCAGACAATATTATAAGTACCTCTTTATGTGTCTTGAATTTAAAGAAAATGGGTAAAGGTAAAATGAATTCTGTAAAGTTTTGTAATAGAAGCAAGTAGAGATGAGATTTGATGGTAGTGTCATTCCGGAGATTGCCCTCTTAGCTGTAAACTACGATTGTGTTCTAATGCCTGATACATGTATTTCATGCTTGATTATGTAAAAATGATGGCACTCAATAAATTATTTTAAGTCTCATGATTTTCCTTTCTAAGGTTTTTGCTATGTTCTTATGTACTTACTCCCTGTGTTATTATAAGTTTTAAAATCTGCTAACATTTATAGCAGTTCATTTCCTAAAATAAATTTCCTATAATTTCTTCAGGAAATAATTAAATTTAAGTAACAGGATACGTAGATATCTGGAAAAGTTTCAGTGCATGTTTTATTGAGATTCCTAAGCAAGAAAGTGAGATTATTTTAGAGTCATTTGTCCTAAAAGAACCCAGATGTAGTCCCAGGACTCATTAACTGTTCTTGTTACAGTACGGCACTTATTTTTTCTTAGACTGCGGATATGTCTGAGACTGGCATTTTCTTTTGCAATGAAAAACGTGATACACATGTAGATTCACATTGTTTGAGACCTGACTGATTCTCCTCTTCTATCAGTGGCTTTCACAACCCTCACTCCTGTATCTATGGGTCATTTTGCCCTCTACCATGTAATTCAATTACTTTAAGGATATACAGATAGATCTTGAACTAAGCTTTTAAGAAGTATTGCCTTTCTAGCTACTAGTCCTTTTTCTTTAAATTGAATCTCTCACTTTCATTTTATTTTGAACTCCATGTATGTTTTCTTGTTTGTTTGCTTTTTTAATCTTCTCTCAATTTTAACTAAAGTACTCTTCGTTCCCTCTTTCGATTTACTATCTTATCTGTGAATCAGCTGATTTTCAGCTTTGGTTACCAATCTAATGGATCGCTGAAGAATCACCTTTTGATTTCCCAAATGCAGAGTTAACACCCAGAGAGAGCTGATAGTTGTAGTGTTTGGCAGTGACTCAGGCTTTATCTGTCTAATTGGATATTTAAGGATAGTGATACCAGGTATCAATAAGATTCTGGTCTTGGAATTATGATGCAGTGATATTGGAGATTCTGAATCTGCTGACACAGGTTCCTGGAGAAAAGGAATGATTTTATAACTTTTCTATCAATATGTAGGTTAATATTGCAACATCCATGGAAAGCTACCCCTTAAACTGATACATGATGCCCAGTGGCCTGTGATTGTGAAGTGATTTTTTGCTGTTGATGTGTGTCTCTGATCTCCTGGGTAGAAGTTAAATTTCTGACCTATTGTGTGAGGGAGTAATTGGACCTCATAAATTTTATTTCCACAGGAAGACATCACCTACAATTTGAAAGATGGAAACTTTCCAAAGCAATGATCAGAGGGAAAGCTCTTAGTATTATTTTGTAGTCAAAAAGAGACAGCTATAGGGAGTCACCTGTGGCTCAGTGAGTAAGGCGCCGGCCCCATATACCGAGGGTGGCGGGTTCAAACCCAGCCCTGGCCAAACTGCAACAAAAAATAGCTGGGCGTTGTGGCGGGCGCCTGTAGTCCCAGCTACTTGGGAGGCTGAGGCAGAAGAATCGCCTAAGCCCAGGAGTTGGAGGTTGCTGGAGCGACTCCGCTGCACTCTACTGAGGGCGAAAAAGTGAGACTCTGTCTCTACAAAAAAAAAAAAAAGAGACAGCTATAAACAATTATTACTACATATGGGGAGAATATTTGTTTGTGAAAAATACTGCAGGTAGTTTTCTTATCTTGTCATGACATAGTTTCGATTTTTTATTAAAAAATGCTATTTTTATATCTTGATTTGTGATATTCTCTTTTACAATTTTCTGAGAAAATTTTGCATAGAAATGTTATTGTTTTCTTCCTAAATATTTGGTTGTATTCCCCTATTAACTCCATCTGGTTCTGCAAATTTCTTATTGGAAAGTTTGTAATTATAGTTTCTCTAGTACATATGCTTAGATTTGCAATTTCTTATGTAAAAATCCTTTGCAGTTTTTGTGTGCAATTTTCCTATTTTACCACAGTTTTAGTACATATTGGTATAAGTTGGATTATAATATTTTGTATTTATGTATTTGTTCAGTGGTGTATTTATTTTTTCCTCAAAAATTTAAGTTTGTTAATGATTTGATCTTCTTAAAGAATGATTTCATTATTCTAAATTGCAAGTAGATATGCCTAACATGCAATAAGTAAAGAATGATATTGTCTATATGAACATGTACCTACATATCCCTAAAACAGAACATTGAAACACAGAAACAAACCCAGGGTGACATGTAGAACCAAATGAATCTGCAATAATACAAAAATTAGAAAATCATGTAAAATTTAGATTACTCTTTCTCATTACCCCCTTCGAGGATGAAACCTATATTGTTTCTATCATAATTTTTAAAGATTTTATGTACATGTTGCTCTATTTTTCTATAATGTATTTGGGTTATCATGGAATACATTAAGTCTTGATGTCATATAGTTAATGCTATAACTGTACCTCACAACTGAAATGTTTCAAGTGTGTAAGAGTTTTATACGAAAAATAGAATATCTTCCCAGAATTCAATTTATAGTTAATAAGAAATATGGTAATATTTAAACAATTAAGTCATTCACAACTGTTTCCTATTATTGTGTAATTGTTCACTCTTAACAATGAATTGATAATAATTATTCTCGAACAGTCATTATGCCATTCTCTTGCAATCCTCTTAAATAATACGCTAAAATATCCTCCATTTCAGGGACTGAAAAAACAGAATGAAGTATTAAAAATGTAATTTCAGGGGACAACAAAAGCACCCAAAATAATGCCTGAATAATTTCTTAAGTATCTGGTTATTAAGTGAGCATTTATATAATGTAATAAGAATTTGGATCTAATATTATCTGTGATAGATAGAAAACAACATAAATAACTATAGAAAAATTCAAATAATATAAATGAATGTTAATGCTGTGTATCACATCATGAACAGAAAAGAACATATATTATTTATTTTAAATTTGTTATTATTTAAAATGTTATATTCACATAATATTAGTAGAATTATAAATATTCTTTCTTAATTTACAGCAAATATGATGTGTGTATGTTTCCATATATAAATGTGGGTGTGAGCATCCATATAATGAGATCACATGATATGTGCGATTCTGCAACCTATAAGTTCTCAACAAAGTATTCTTCATATAAGCACTTAGTTGTAAAGTGTTGTAATAATTGCACTGTATTTTATTTTTATGATGTTATATAATACATTCATCCTGAACATATATATTATTTTATTTTTTCACCATGAACAAATGCTTTGAGCATATATACTCACTTTTGAGAGTTTGCATGCATACTTGTACTAGTGAACACGCAGAGTCCATTTATTAGGTAATTATAAACCTTTTGGGGGGGGTGCAATGTGCTGTTTTTTTCTTTTTTTTTTTAATTTGAAATGGTTTCATCAAACTGCTTAGCATAGCCTTCACGGCATTTTCTTAGTTATCGTGCTAAGACATTTATATTCTACGCCTAGTAAATTTCCCGTGTATCCTTGTAAGATGCACCATATAAATTTTTATTTTATTATGTTTTCTGACAAAAAATTGCTATTTTTATTTCCTGATAAGTATCCTTCATTGTTGCCAGAAACACCAATATTGTTGCCCCTATGTTGACAAAACTATAGTGCACATTACAATCAGACAATGACTAAAAGATTAATTACTACATTTATACATATTTAGGGAATAAATAAGAATTTTTGGTCCATTTCAACAGTTTTGACTAATGTGTATGCTAATAATTTTGAAATCTATATCTGGTAAAAAAAAAATTTCCACATGAAGAAATAAACAAAAATGATTTAATGTCCCCAAGATTATCTAAAGTCTTTATGTAGCATAATGTCTGACAATACATGCAGGAAAAAAGAAAGAAAGATTCTTCCTTTCTCTGTCCTACAAGTTCAGTTTTGGGGGCATGCAGGCTGATCATACAAATGGCTAAAATAACAGCGAATAACAACATTCTTTTATATTCTTTTTATGCTAGGTCTCTTTTTAGAAGGGACATACTAATTATCTCATTTTACTCATTAAACAACCATTAAGTATATAGTATTTTATGCCCAGTATAAACATAAGCATACATAAACCTAGAAAGAGTAAACAGTTTTGATGAGCCAGTTATTTGGAATTCAAAACTTGAACGCGGGTCAAATTCTCAATTGCTGGATTGCCATGCTAAATGTGTGGGTACTATTTTCTCTGAAGTGCAAGTGGTAAGTAAATAGGATAAACAGCATTTCGTTGATTTGGGATTTTGTTTTTCATTTCCTTAGGGTGTGATGATGGGTTTTATCTTCTGTTCTCCTATTATCCCATATGAATATAAAATTGCAATCTATTGAATTATGATGTTTACACCTGTGAAGCTATTAAAAAGAAAATAAAGAGTCTTTGGTCTAATATTGTTTTGAATGAAAGCAATATAAAGAGTAAAAATTTAATATTGTCTCATTTACTCAAAACTTTCCACTATTGTCATTCCTGGAACATTAGGTTCTCTTTAGTTGTGGAGTTACTTAAAAAAATAAATAGCTAAGCTGTTTAGTCGACATAAATATCAACAAAGTGTCTTGCTCAAGGGAAAGAGTTGTTTAACTCTCTCCTGAATTTGTTTGGTCTTAACTCCATAAATGATGGGGTTGAGAGTGGGTGGTACCACCACATAAAGATTAGCAAGGAGAATATGTATATGGAGTGGTATTCTGTGACCTCCAAATCCGTGAGCAAAGAAAGAAAAGAAAGCTGGTGTATAGAATAGGAGAATGACACACATATGGGAGCCACAGGTTCCCAGAGCCTTGATTCGGGTATCTCGGGAAGGAATTCTAAACACAGCACAAAGTATGAGGACGTAAGAGATGATGATAAGCACCACATCCAGGCATGTGGAAAAGAGGGCCACAATCACTCCATAGTAGATGTTGACTTTAATGCTGTCACAGGCTAGCTTGGCAATGCCCATATGTTCACAATATGAATGACGAATAATGTTCTTCCCACAATAAGTAAGCCGATAAACCAGAAAAACCAAGGGGAAGCAGATAAAAAAAACTCCTGGTCACAGATGCAACACCCATCTTTCCAATGACTGAGGGGGTGAGAATGGCAGTGTATCTTAGTGGATAACAGATGGCCATGTAATGGTCAAAAGCCATGGCCAGCAGTATGGCAGACTCTGCCACAAAGATGAAGTGTAGGAAAAACATCTGAGATACACAGCTACCAAAAGAAATGCCCCCAGCTTGAAACCAGAAGATTGCTAGCATCTTTGGTGTGGTGACTGTAGAGAGGAAGAGGTCTGCTATGGCCAACATGGAGACAAAAAGGTACATGGGTTCATGAAGACCTGGTTCAGTGAAGATCAGAAATAATAAGAGGACATTGCCTACAACAGCTGTTATGTACATGGAGCAGATAGGGATGGAGATCCATACATGAGCATCTTCCATCCATGTGAACCCAATCATGGTATACCAGAGGTCTCTGAGGAGGTTGGTGTGATTTGAAGAGGTTGTCATCTTTCACTCTCTCCTCAAACTGGATCCTGAAATAGAAAAAGGATGGATGGATGGAAGGAAGGAAGGAAGGAAGGAAGGAAGGAAGGAAGGAAGAAAAAGCAGGCAAGGCTGTGAAAAGGAAAGGAAAGGAGAAAAGAAAGAAAGCCAAGGCAAAGAAAAATTTAAAAGAAGAAAAGAAGAGAAAGAGGAGGGAAAGGGAGGGAGGGGAAGGGAAGGGGTAAGGCAAGGAAAAAAGAAAGAAAGTGAGTGAGTGAGAAAGAAAGAGAGAGAGAGAGACAGAGAGATTGATTGGCATTATAAGAAAGTAATTGATTTTCAAGATATAATCATAAACTTTACTTATTTTATAATGTGGTCTAAGCACTATGGTCAATACTTTATACTTCTTGACTTAATGTGAAATCTTTGTAGCCTTTTATACATCATTGCATTCTTTGTCTGATCATTTCTGATAAATAATCACATTGTCCCTCTGGTACTTCAGAAACAGTGTTTGGAATACTGCTGTGGTCTTCATGGAAGCTCAGGACCATTTAATCAGGAACTATAATTATTCTTGTAATTAATTTAAATTAAGATTTTCATAATAAAGCTGCTTTTGTTAATTCTAGAAATGTGCATAATAATAGCTTTGTTTTAGTTAAAACAGTGCAGTGCAAAGCAAGACTTTCTATGGCATTATTCTAACTCAGGAGAAAGTGTCCACTCAACTTTCACACACATTAGGTTTCTTCTTCCATTCCCTCCAGCCTACCCTGCTTCTTTTTTTCTTTCGTTTCTTCTAGCTTGTGTTTGTGTATTGGTTATTTCGTTTCCTTCTGCATTTCCTTTGCTACTCAAATTGAATACTGTTACTGGACAAAGGAAAAAGGCAGCCTATTGATAGCAGAGCAACAAAATAAATGAGTTGCAAATCCACACAAATTTAAGTGAATTAATAAACATTTCTTTAAGTTCACTCTTTCCACGGTACTATTCAACAGAAGGAATCACATAGAAGCCATAAATAACCTCTATTTCAAATATCTCACATACTTGTGAGGACTCTGATGCAGGGACACAAATACCACCCCTCAAAGCAGACTAGGGTGGGAGGTATTCGACCACATGGGTTTAGCAACACCAAGAAGACACCACTTTTTACAAGGATGATGGAGCAAAGATTCACAGAAATCTTGTCATTAAATACCCTTATCAGGAAACAAAACAAAACAGTAGTCTTAAAATGAGAAACATTGAAAAGAACAAGCAAGACAAGTAAAATGTTCATACTAGGAATGTTAATCACTGTACAGAGAAACTCTTCTGGTATAGTGAGGGCTGAGGGGCATGAGAACTGTAACTAAATAAGTAAGCTGTAACTTGAAGATTCAGAGATTTAAAAGTAAATCAAAGATTTTATGTTTAATTTTATGTAATATAAGATTACTAATTATCAAAAATAGTTACTGTATTTTAATATTTATCAAAATTTTATGAAGAATTCAATATGATCAAAATGTAAGCTTTGTCTTTGCAGAGAACTCTTCACTACTGGACTATGCACTTAGTTTCCACTCTCTTTTTTCTCAATTATACGCAACCACAATTTCTAATTACATATTTTGTATAATTATTTTTCAACAAATCTTAAATTCCATGATGGCTATAACTATATATTCAATATCTAGTACACTATATATATACAGATTATATATATATATATATATATATATAGAGAGAGAGAGAGAGAGAGACACACACACACATTTTATTTAATATGGTTTAAAAAGCAGCAATCTTGATTGAAAAGAAGGAAGACAACTAGCTGGAGTTGCTCTAGGAAATTTTTACATCAGACCAGAACAGAATCAGAACTAATAAACTTAGTGAAAATGGAATAGGGAAGTATACATAAATAAATATATCATACATGGACATATACATAAATAAAAAATAGTGAATCTTGCATAAGTGAATTGAGAATGAAAAAAGGTAATAAATTATTTTAAAAAATACTATTTGGAAAAAAGGGTGATGTCACTATTATCATAAGAAAAATATTAGGAATGGATTTAGAGAAAAAATGCAATCCTTTTGACATGATTAATATATCACATTGACCTATGTCTATGGAAGAACTAAGACAATGTATTTAGCAGGGGACCTTAAATTTGGAGGGTGCCCTGGAGAGAGAATTGGACTAGGTATTAGACTAGGTGTCTCGTCTATAACCTCATTTCTGCCACCAACAAACTGTGAGCTTCCCCATCATATAATTTTCTCTTATGTCCTCTATCTATTAATTTTTCTCTCAAAACTACCAAGGATATTACATGTTAAACATAATTGTGTATTCCCATACATCTCAGAGGGACACACAAAGGAACTGATCTCGCAAACTAGCTTAGATAGCAACTCAAATGGTATGGTTATTACTGTCCACCATCCAAATGTCCATCTTACTTTTAGTAATTCAACCCTGATATAAGAATCAAAGATCCCAATATTTTTACTACATTTCATATATTTTTACTTTCTCCCTAACAACCACTACTTTTCTCACTCAAAGAAATGCTCAGCTGCCTTTGTGGGATTATATTCCAACCCCTATTAGAAGTAGAATCCTTAAATGATCAGTGAAAACTGATTGAGAAACTTTTCATCCTCTTCTCAGAAATAATCAGAACCTTTTCCAATACGTGGAGTCCAATAGGGCTTGGGGACTTGTAATTTACCAAGAATGAACTATCACTAGAAGCTCCGCTTTGATTTTTTTCCTTCATTCCCCTCATTTATATATCTCTCAAATGCTTTATTTTTTTATTTGTATAATAATCTATTCTATTGATTTCTTTCCCTCTCTCTTTCTGGTCTCAAATGAATATATACACTTTAAAAGAGGTAAAACCAACAAACAAACAACAACAACAACAACAAAAAAGCAAAAGAAACACAAAGGCAACCCAATAAGCAAATAATAGCATAAGAACCTTCCAAAATTCTAGCTCTTGCTATTTTGAGAAACTGAATTCCACACACAGTATACCTAGCCTTATTTTGATCTTTATTTCTATTTTGGATAATGTACAGTAAACTCCATCGACTTTAATTTTTCTAAGGAGACTTTTAACCATCAAGCTGAAAATAAGTACTTATATCCCAGAAACACCTGTGAGAGACAATATCATCTTTCTTCTATGATAGGAAATATTTTTATGACTATGTTTAGGGTGACAAACCCCAGAACTGTTTCCTCTGTTGATTTCCATTTTGAAAATAAACCATATTTATACTTGGGAAAATTCTTCATAATGGAGGTTGGCTCTATCAATAGCCATAAAGTGAACCAATCATTAAGTCAACAGAATGTGGTCTGTCTAGGTAATAAGACATGCTCATCCATTACAAATATCATTTCCCAAGCCTGGACATGTGTTCACCATCAGTCTTGGATCTGCCTGAGTGGTTGCACTGGACAAGTGCTGGAACATAGGTAGGAAAAGGGACAAAAAAAAAAAAAAAAAATCTCACAGTTCCTCCAGGCTGTCTTCTGGCTCTCCTCCCTGAATGCTCTAAGGCACTGGGCACCTGTACCACCCATGTCTGCACTATTCTTGTCTCCTACACACCTGCACTGTTTAGCTTCCTAAATTAGTGCATTGCCAGGTATCCCCAAGCATCCACATAATTTTTGCAAGTTTGTACCTTCTAGTGCCCCCTGCGGTTAATCCCCCAGTGCATGGTACCAAGACCAAGCAGATTTGTGACTAAATGGTAAATGTCTCTTTTTCTCACATCAGAAAATTTCTGTATAGTGTATTATTTAAATTCAAAAATGCAGATACACTTTGGTAGAATGTAGCTCATGAAATCATGATGTGTTAACAATATCAAAATCTTGCTCCCAAAATTTTATTTCTCAATTTAACAATCTTTTGTAGTGTAATATTTGATGTTGTGCTTTTTTTCCTCTTTTTTATTTCTTTACATCTTCTCTTTCTTTTAGAGAATGCCTTTTGGGGAGTGTTTTTGATAAATAGTAGAAAATATTGTTATTATTATTTTTATTGTATGTTCAATGTTATCCAGAATATGCTATTATATTCAAAAGTGTAAAATGATTAGGCTAATTATTGACAGACAAATCCACTGTTGGAACGGGAGGTTGAACGTGCCTCTTTCAGAAACTGATCAAGCTGATATGTTTGATTCTAGAACTGATACAGACAATATCCAAGAGGAACCTGGAGCACCTTTTAGAGCCATGAGGTATGCAGTTCTAATACACACAAACACATACACACACACAAACATACACACCCACACCACTCACACAGGAACAGAAGGCAAGTCAAAGAGCTACCTGTGATCAAACTGAAACAACTTAAGCAAGAAAATAAATGAAGTTATACTGGGTTGTCACATATAATCAGAAGACTAATGTAAATAATAATGTAAATAATAGTCATAATATAAAAGTGATGGGATAAATTAATCAGAGGGGGATAATAAAAATCTCCCAGGTGAAGAATTTGACATGATTTATTAAATCATACATTTATAGCTATTACATATATAAAGAAGAGGAACATAAACTTGTACTCCTTCAATGTGAACTGCATATAGTGACTTCAGAGAGTACCCTATGAAAATAGGTAAAAAAAAAAAAAAAGACTTCCACAGTAAAGAAATATGAAAATGTACTGCCTGAGCCAAGTAATCAAGGTAAACATACACAGTGATAAACTATGTTGATAGCAGATACATTTGATAACAAGGGGATCAAAATACCACTTTAACTCTCATCTTCCTCCCATTCACACATAATCAAACTCTGATTTTACCAAACATGTAAGATAAATTCTAGTACAAGGAAATCATAGAAAATACTTGAATAGTATTCTTCAATAGTGTTAAGGTCATTAGAATAAAGGAAAATATGAGAAATGTTCACAGCCAAGAGGAAGCTAAGGAGATTCAGATGAATGTACTGTTGCATTGGGGACAGAAAGGTAATTCAGAAATAAACTAAGAAAATATTCTTAAAATCTATAAACTATTAATTTATTCCATTATATTCTATTAATAGTCAATTTATTAACTGTAACCAATATGCCACCCTGATGTAGAATGGTAACATGGCAACTCTTTACATGCTGTATACATTTAAGTTATTGTAAATCCAAATCTGGTTTAAAAATTCAGTGTATAAAATGCATTCAATCATCGTTGAACCTAAGAGACTTCCCAGTGCTCTGATCATCATAGGACAAAGACCAGTGTAAGATGTGAATGGTGATGATAATAGTAATGATGACAGTGTTCAAAATTTAATCAGGAAAGTAGAGATGGTTCATTATCATTGCAATTATAAGTTTTAAGACTGATTTATTTGGTGTTAAAGTACTTGATGCACTAACTATTTTTAATTGAAGGATAACACTCAAATTTTGGTGTATGTTTAAGGAAGTATTTATACTGAATGATTGAAGAAAGGTTTTCAGTATTTGAAAGACAAGCTTAGTGATTTTTGTTTTTATGGTATCTATTGACCCATATATTTTGTCAGCACATTAGTATGGTAAGTAGTATACTTCAGCATGTTCATTAAAATAGCACAAATAATTTAGTTTCATATACATTAGAATTATAACACATTAGATTACATTTCTTATGCAATGCCACTGATACTACTTGATATTTTTTGGAACCAACCAATGAGCACACAGTACACGGAGGGAAGTAAAAGTCAGTGGAAATCAATGGGAGGAGAGAAGAAGGGAAAAAACTCTAACTGAAGGGTAAAATGAACACTTTTTGGGTCACAGACACATTTATAACTGGAATGCAAGCATGACAAAAGTGATCCAAGTAACATAAAACATTTGTGCTCCTGTGATAAACAAAACCGAGGCTAAAACATCAACATTTACTCTTCCTTATAAATCATCTCTATTACTAAAAGATGATGAAACCTATAAACAAATGTTTTTTTTAAGTTTTGCCTTGGTGTCAACAATTGGTTAAATAGGACTAGCTCTGTGTGCTTTAATTACATAGCCAAAAGAAAAGATATTATTTAAGAGTCAAATCTTATTGCCTTAAATGCAAAACTAAAACTTCATATTTTAGCACTCAGTGAACTTCAGAAAGCATAGATCCTCATCAAGAACAAGGTTGTTTCAGAGTGACATTGTGTTATTTAAGTAGGATAATGAAAAATCAAGAATCTCCCTTAGGGAAGAATATCTTAGACATTCCATCTCGAATTTGTTTGGTCTTTACTCCATATATGATAGGATTGAGCAAAGGTGGGACAAGTAGGTAAAGGGTGGACAGAAGAATATGAATGTAGGATGGAATGTGGAAACTAAACCTATGTGTAAAGAAAGAGAAGAAACCCAGGACATAAAACTCAAGGAAGACAACAATGTGGGCGATGCAGGTGTTGAAGGCCTTTAGCCTAGCTTCCTTTTGAGGAAGATTAAAGACAGTTATAAAAATTTGAATGTAGGACAAAGTGATGCATATTATGTCTAGTCCAAGTATACTGAAAGCTACAAACAAACCATAGACCTTATTGATACGAACATCTTCTGCTGCCAACTTCACGACGGCCATGTGCTCACAATACGAATGGGAGACCACAGTTGTCTGGTAGAATTTCAGCCGGCATTTGATGAGAATGACACATGGAGCTCCAAGAAGGCCAGCTCTAAGAGTCACCCCAACCCCAATCTTAATAAGAAGTTGGTGGCTAAAAATGGTTGCATGTCTCAGAGGATCACAGATTGCCACGTAGCGGTCCAGAGCCATGGCCATTAAAATGCCTGACTCAATACCCTGGTATGTGTGGATGAACCACATCTGCAAGAGACATGCATCAAAGTATATTTTTTCCAAATGAAACCAGAATATTCCTAGCATTTTAGGTAAGATGGAGGTACTGAGAACAATGTCTGTTGCTCCAAGCATTGCCAGGAAGATGTACATGGGTTCATGGAGGCTGCGCTCAGCTTTGATGACAACCAGGAGCAGGGAATTACCAAACAAAGCAAGGGTATACATGGTACAGAAAGGGATTCCAATCCAGAATTGCACAGATTCCAAGCCAGGGATACCAACAAGTGTCAGCACCAGAGGCCTGAAGACTGTACCATTTTGCTTGAGCATGTTGGCTTAAGGATTCTTGGCTGGTACCTTCTGATTCAGGCTGGCCATGTTTGTTGGTACCTCTCTTCTGTTTTGTATTCTCACCTAGATTTATACAACCAAATAGTGAACGTGATTTCACAGGGAATTTTTCAGGCATATCCAATACTGCTTAATTAACTAAGTAGGTATAGGAATACCTAGATAAATTAGATAGATAGATAGGTTTTTTTTGTTTTTTTTTTTGGCAGTCTCACTCCCTTACCCTGAGTAGATTGTGTGGCATCATAGCTCACAGTAACCTCAAATGCCTGGCCTCAAGATATCCTTTCTCTCAGCCTCCCAAGTAGGTGAGACAACAGGCCCCCTTCACAATGCCCACATAGTGTTTCTATTTTTAGTAGAGACAAGGGGGTCTCACTCTCAATCAGGTTGGTCTCACACTCCTGAGCTCAAATAATTCACACGCTTTGGCTGCTCAGAGTATTAGAATTACTGGTGTGAGTCACGGAGCCTGGTCTGACTCCTTACATTTTATCTCAATTTTCAGTTCTCTGTGGTATCTATTCTTTTTTCTCTCTCTCCCTCCTGCTCCTGTCTCTCCGTCTCTCTCTATCTCTCTCTGTACTTGTGTCTATACCTCTCTACCTTTCCCTCTCTAACACACACACACATTCTCACATACACTCATGCTAGAGAGAAGACACATTTCTAGTAATGTAAGGGCATGTGGGTTATGTACAATCAATTAAAATTATCCTATAGAACACCAGATTGATCTTATATGGTAATAATTTAGGGGTACTTAATGGCTATGTTCTAATATCTTCACGTTTGTGTCCTTACTAGAAGCATTTATTCAGTCAATCAACAGGTCAAGGAAAGGAAAATAAGAGAGATTTTCACTATTTCAGGAGCGACACTCAGCATTGGATAAGAAATGCAAGCAATGTAACCTAACCATTTGTGCCCTCATATTAATCTGAAACTAAAAAAAAAAAAAAAAAGAAAGAAAAAGAAAAGAAATAGTAAAGTAGCATCCTTACTACCAAGGGCAATTTCACTCATTCTTCTATGGAAGGTTATATATGCCAATTTCTATATGTATATATTTTTATAATACTCACTTAAAAGATACCACTGTAATCCCATGGAAGTATTTTTTTTCATACATGTTGAAAGAGATTCACCACTATTACATATTTAGTTCTTATAAGAATCCATTTATTCAGTATCTTTATAGTTGGAGGCTCTGTGCAGATCTGGGTGTAGAAAATTATAGTTGTAGAGCTTACTTGTAACACAAAATAAGTCCATATTCCTTTGAGTCCTTTATTTTACATTTACATTTCATATCTCAATAATTGTCAGTTTAATTTGACTCTATCATGAATCCAGATCTAATGTCTTCAAATTAATACTATTGTTGCTTCATATATATATATATACATATTTTTATACATATATAATACTAGTTTTATTTTTTCCCATTCATAATAACTAGTTTTAGTAATTTTTCTATGTCAATTTAATTTTCATCCAAACAGCTGAGGGCCAGATGTAAGAATATGATGCATTCAACACATATTATCCACTCATTTGTTGAATTTCAGTGTAAACACAAAGCATATTCCCTTGACATGACAAGATTTGCACATACACTGGATGGTTTCTTCTAATGTTATCTTCATTAAAGAATTAACTGAGCCCACCATGGTGGCTCATACCTGTAATCACAGCACTCCTGGAGGCCGAGGTGGGTGGCTGCCTCAGCTCATGATACCAGCCTAAGCAAGAGTGAGAACCTGTCTCTAAAAACAGCCAGGCATTGTGGCCAGTTCCTATAGTCCTAGATACTTGGGAGGCTGAGACAAGAGAATTACTTGAGCCCCCATTTTTTTTGCAGTGAGCAGTGACAACACAGCACACAACCAATAGTGGCAGTGAGACTCTGTCTGAAAAAAAAAAAAAAAAACAAATTAACTGAACACCTTCCTTATATGGCAATCTAACCATTTTCTTAGTTTCTTTATGGGATAATCCAGAACTATAATAAATTGGTAATCACTGAGAAGCATCTGTGCCATCAGTTTAGTTCCCAGATCCTTTTCAAAGCTTTATAGACAGGAATCCTATGAGGACTCTTGAGACTGATACAATAAAATACAATAATTGATCCTCATTTATTTCCCACTTATTCCTGGCTCCTTAATCTCAACAACTCCACTACCGTCCCGTTAAAAATCAAGACCACACACATCACACACACTCACAGACACATGAAATTATTATGTGAAAAATTATGTAATCAAATGTGTGCCAAATTTCTTAACTGATTTTGGTGTGTTTCATAATCACTGCACACTTTTGTGACATCTGGCTGGCAGTTTATATCTACATCATCTGTTTTCATTTTCAACTGTCCATACCTTCACAGAGGTGTTTACTTTTCACCCACATTTGATGATTGTTATTTTCCCAGGTCATAAATGCTCACAAAATGTGTTCTTTCAGCAGTTTGTGTAAAATTCTTTTCAGACTCATCAAGGCATTCCAGTTGAAAATTACCTATTCTTTTTGTTTGTCATTCACTTCGACCTTCTTTACAAACTTCTAACCAGTCATTGAAACGATACTTTGGAATTCTATAAAATAATTTTAAATGGTACAACATGTCTTGAACACTTTGCTATCCTCACCACCTACTTCCATAATATTTTTACTGTACCCATGTTTAACATTGAATTCTCAGCCCAAGCATCATCCCCAGGAAATCACTACTAATATCCTTAAGCAGAAGTTGATATTACTCCTTTTGGTTCAATCTGAATGAGAGATTGACTGTTAAATAAACACAACTCATTGGTAATTAATGGCTCAATTAGAGTTTAATTTTTTCTGAGTTTAAGTATGAAAATTTTACAAATTTTAATACAAATGCAAATCCACTTGCCCTGTTTTCAGGTATACATTTGCAGGAGGAATGAGAGACTAAGGTTAAGAAAGGTAGAGAACAAACTTCAGAGTAATGCTAAGTTTGTTAATATCTCAACATTTAAGCTTCATCTGTTTTTATTTCTGCTTTACTGACCACATAAAAATACATACCTTCCTTATTTGAAGATTTGAAGACTTTTATTTTTGATGAGGGAAGAAAAGAATGAGGAAATTCCCCTTAGATCATGATGAGATCAATATTACTTTTTAATACTCCTCATGTCCCAGATCAAACCACATACAAAATGTTAATCTTCTTTTCAGAATGCCTACTAAGAGCTGACACTTACTGAAATCTAACTCTTATATATCATTACATGTTCAATTCCCCGTACTCCCTTTGGGTCGCATCTAAATATATCTCTCTAATTCTCATAGGCACCTAAGGAAAAACATATAAGCTTAATATTCTCACTTTCTTATGCAAGTGTTCCATGCATTTACTCATGCTAATGTAGTAAAATTCCACACAGATAAGGAAATTCATTTTCAGAGGCAAATAAAGAACATAGTATAAAGAGTTGGGCAAGTGCTATGCCATAATTCTCCTTACTTAAGAACAAGGAATGAAATTATGTTTTCTCAGGTCAAAACTTTTACCCCCTCCCTATTATTCTTATTATTTTATGTTGTTTGTATGAAGAAGCATTCTTGAAGAATTACAAGTCTTCATGGTATTGCTAACCTGAATCCCACCAACTCCAATTCTCCCCATCAAGTCTGATGAAAGTAAATCTCTGTCCTGGGATGCCTTTAACATTTCATTTGATAAAGGACAGGTGGAAATCAAAAGGTAACATCAGAAACCATAAGATACTTACCCTGGCTTAGAAAGACTTATAATTGGATATAGCAGCCCTGGGAAGAGGTCAGTTCCAGGTTTTAGATACCATTTTCAGTGTTGCATTAATGAAGGCTATGGGGAAAGACAACTGAAAAGAACCTTGATGAACTGTCTAAATGATGAGAAAGACTTGAGTGTAGGGAATATGCAAATTTTTTTATTAAACCATATCTATTTAGAATTATGGAGTACAGTGTGGTGATTTAATATACACTGAGAAATCCTTACATCAAGCTGATTAACATAACCATTACTTCACTTATTTGTTGTTATAAGACATTTACACTCTGCTCTTAATACATGTGAAAGGTATCATTGCATTGTGCACAGTAGATGAGGTCCCACCAAATACTCTACATTCTCCAACCCTTCCCTCTCCCCTCTACCTTCTCTTTTCTTTACTTCCTTGACCATAATTGTGTTTTATCATTTGTATGAATGTGTAGGTGATTATATATTGGTTTCATAATAGTATTGAGTACATTAACTACTTTTTTTCCATTCTTGAGATACTCTACTAAAAAAAATACATTTCAGTCCATACATGTAACAATCTTAAACATTATTATTCCTATTAAATTTTAAGCCTTTTTGATTTTGAAAAGACTAAATGTGGAAACCAAATAAACACATGTATATGTAAAAAAATAAAAATAAAGAAAAAACTCATCCTACAAAAAAAACCTCATTTTACAACAAAGGCATTTGCACCAGAATGCTTATTGCCATGCAATTCATAATTGCCAAGTCATAGAAGCAGTCCAAATGTATAAAATATGTTTATTATGAAAAAAGAATTTGCAAAGGAGAGAGCTCTATATTATAAGGACCTTGGGGAAATGCAGAGTGTCCTTCCTTAATTATTCATCATAGTACTGGGGGCATTTTCATGTGCTAAGATTGCTTGAGAGTGGAGAAAATCTATCACCCTAGAGTTGTACAAATAATTGTGACTAATATTTTACACAGAAGCATGAATAGAGTTTATTCCTGCAGGTCAGAATGAAAAACTCTTACAACTTAAATAGTGTTTGGTACAATAATCAAAGGAGTATTTCCCAGGGAAAATTAGCACTAGAATAAATAGTACGCAGTCCATTCTAATAAAATTTGAATCCAAGACAAGAAATGATCAATCTGCTCCCATTTAACATAAATTTCTTCTAAAATATATTGCAAA